ATATATAATATATATATATATATATATAATCCATCACACTCCTTATTTTAATTCTAAATTGCGATTACTTACAATTATCAATACAATTAAATACAAATATAATTAAAACAACATCGCGCAACATTTTATTTAAATGATTATTTACTTTCATCATTATATATTTCTTTTATCACGAGAATAACGATAAAACTATAATCCGATAAAACTATTTCTCGGCCTACTATTACTCTTTTCGCCGTTTTTAGAATTTTTACACGCCCTTGGCTATTCATCTTCTTTTTGCCCTTGGCATCCATCAAGACTTTAGGCACGAGTTTCGGCCAAACAGCGTAATTGAAACATCGGTATCATAGCGCGGCCAAAAGAAACTGTTCACAACGGCCCCTGCGAACAGGTAGAAAAATCCAGCGTGTCGGAGAGTCCAAGCGTTCGGTTCGTACGTCACTTTTGCACGTACCGCAAGGAGAGGATAAGGTGGAGAGAAAGAAATAAAAGCGGGACATGTGTTCACGAGAGAGTAACACCGACAAAACACGTGGCGCGCGAGAAATGCGGCAAAGGATCCGCGTTTGCCGGCCCTGTTTGATTTATAATAATCGTTCAATCCTCATTACCAAGATATTTTATTGTACCGAGTCCTCTGTTCGATGAGAAACTTACCATGAGGAATTTCCGATCATTCTTTCGAATCAAATATAACCGCCTATGAAAGAAAATCCTCCGTTAAGGATTTTATTTTTTACAAGTCTAAAGATAATTGTTATAATTGTGATTCCTTGTTTAATAAGATTGTTAATTAAGGAGAATATATGTAATTATATATTACTATTGATTAATGATTTTTTTAATAGAGAATTTTGAATTTTAAATATATTTAATAACATATCTTAATAAAATGTTTAAATCTGAACCAAATTATAATGATATGATTTAATTGAAAATTTCTAATTGAAGATAAAATTAGCATTATTAGTATTATTTAAAATTCTGAGAGATATCTCAAAAATTTATAATAGCGATTAGACAAATTTAAAAGTTTGTAGGAAATGAGAAAAATTAAATTTAAAATACAAATAATATAAATTTAATATATAAATATCTTTTGAAAAGTACATTTTTTAATCTTATGAATTGTTATCTGTTACTATGAACAATATTTTCAATAAAATACAGATCTTGAAAAATTAATTTGTTCTGAAAGAAATAATATCTTATAAAATATATTATAATTTAATTAAATATAAACAAAGATTTTAATAAAATTTTTACAAGAAAATTCTAATTAAATTAATTAATTCTTTTTTGTCTTCTCGTACATGTATCATTATACAAATAAAATACCTAACTAGATTTCGTGAGGCTGTCGCTTGAACGAGTAATGCTTGACACCTTGAAATCGTTTCGTGATGGTATTTGGTATCCGCGAACTTTACAAACGCCATATAAGTAGGATCGAGTTTTTTCGATGGTGATCGTCGACGCCGTAATAACTTTGCACCGTCAATTTTCCAGGTCTTTGCACGGATGCAGAACAAAAATGTTCAACTTGTTTTCTTGCGATACACCGGATCGTATACAACATTCTCGATTTCTTGCGAATCTCGAATTTTCTCCGATACACGATACGATCTCACGATCGTTTCAACTATGTTCTATTTTTTTTTTTTCTTATATGACAATTTTAATTTGAGATAATGGTATTGAGAAAATATAAGGGACTAATAAAAAATTTTGTTTGAAATCTTTTATTTTTGCTTTTTAAATCGTTCGATCCAAATGTAATGATAAACATTGAGAAAGAGAAAAAAAGAAAAATAAAATCGAAAATAAATTTAAAAAAAGGAAAACAAAAAAAACAGTGGCAAACTCGTTAAAAAAATTACTAAAAAATATTAAAAAAACAAAATGCATTCACATAGACAAGAAAGCTCAAAAAAACAAACAGAAAATAAAAGAAAAATTCAAATCTCGACATAATTATTTAAACGATAATACATAATTACAAAACTTATAATCGCTGATTCATATTCACAATCGATCAATAATTAATTAAATATATTTTCTCTTTGTATCAAGTTGATATGATTGAATCGATATCCGCGTCTATCATCGACTTTTTGACATCTTTCAAAACATTATCTTTCCTCGGGTTTCAACGACGAATCAATCAGCTCCCCCTAAAACCACGAAATACAGCAAGAGAGGACGACGAAGACAAAGAAGAAAAATAATTCCGTCGATAGCACGACTGTGTAGCCGCGTAACGTATAATAGTTACATCAGATTAGGATAGCGAGCGTGTAAGCAGACTTAATGCGTGGGTAGGCATCGAGTGACCAGGGTGAGCTTGGTGCTCATTGCACGTAGCCGAGAATACACCTGAAACTTCGTGGCTGCCCAGCTCACCAACACACAAACCCATGTGCCCATTTGCTTTGGTGCCGGAGACCTCGACACGAACGAGGCGAGGGTAACGACGATGAAACAAAGAGGAGGAAGGGAAGGGCGGTCGAAACCGGCGGGGATAGGGGTGGTTTGGTAATCGCGCATTAATTTGCATCACAAATACACGCCACCCGCCACGCTACGCACGCATTCCACGTAGTTTTCCGCTACCGTTCGATCTCTTAGTTTTCAAGCTGTTCGAGAAAGACACACTCACCCGTTTATTTTCCTTTCGAGATCCGTGGAACAATTGTTCTTTCTGATTATGAATTTATATCATAATATCGAAACATGGATTCCCAACTTGTGTGATTCGCAATCACCAACAATTCAATCGCAGTGTTTTCTGGGAAATTTTCACAATTATTTTTATTTATGATTATTTATATAGAGTGTTTTATGTTTTAAAAGTAAAAATTAATAGTTGCTTATTTCAATATAATTATCTAGAAATATAATAAATAGAAATAACTACATACTATTGACCAAATATTTAGGTTAGATATTTCTATTATATTTAAGTTTTGTTGGTTCTGTTATTAATTTGAAATAAATATTATATATATATATATATATATATATAATAATTCTATTTTGATAAATTTTTGATGAAAGAATTTTCAAAAACAACAA